ACAAAGGCAATAAGAAGATACAAGCAGTCGTATCTCAGACTAATGAGGTTGCAGTCTCCTCCCCTGCACCTGCTAGCGGTCGTCGTTCGCGCGCAACCGCCAAGGGCAAGGGAGGCAAGCCTACCCCAAAACCAAAAGTCGTCCGACCTCAAATCAATTCTGCAAATAAACGTAAAAGAGCAGATTTGGATGAGGAAGACAAGCAGATCACAGGGAAAGAAGAGGTTCCCCCTACGCCACCCTCAAAAAGGCCTAGGCGAGGAGCCGCTACGGCGGCTATCGCATTGTCCGCCGCTGCGCAAGAGGCAGAAGATGCTGGTAGAAATAGGAATGCATGTTTCCCAGGTTTGGACTTGGCTTTGTCAGCTTCTGTGCTTCCGCTGGTGTCCGGGTCTACGGTGGCAGTGGTTTTGGGTCGAGATCGGGAAGGTTTGCCGCTCCCGGCGGCCGACACCACCCTTGTCGTAGTCTTTGGACGCTGATTCTTCGGTGCAGCTGCAGATAGCGGGGCAGAAGGACTATTTGGAGACCCGACAGACGATTCTTTTGAGACAGATTTAGGTGCCTGCAACGGTGATTTTTGCACAGTGGGAGGCTGGCGGGTGAGAAAACGTATATCAACGACGCCAATACGGGCTGGGGTGGGTTGATGAGAGGATGAAATAGAGTGTGTAGTCGATTCTGATTCATGTGAATCGATCGCGATGTTTGGGGAGGCTTGATTGTTGTCGTTAGCATCTCCGAAAGCGTATGTGGGCACCGAACTCTTAGCGAGTTGCTGCTTGCGTCGTGCGACGCTACTCAGCTCTGGCTGAGCCGGCTTCGACGTAATCGACGACGCATCAATGGGTTTAGATATTGGATTAAATGAAGTTGACAATTGAGCAGCATTATTTGTTGGATGGGATGTATGGGTTGGCTGTTGAACTGGTGGCGCCAGTTGGAGGCGGGCACGCCCTAAAAGAGCAAGTCTTTGAGCTGAGTAGGAGCTAATGAGATTATTATATGGCGGTATCCGATGTCCAGGGAGCTGGACCAAAGGTAATGGGCTTGGGGCCACCACGGACATTGGCAGAGCGTTGGTTAGGTTAAGATAGAGCAGCGGTATATTTCCTCTGTGAAAGTGATCTAAATTAGCCCAGGATACGCCTCAGAGCACGTTCGGGGTGTTTCATGCCAGTCGCCGACTTACCTGGGTTGTTTTGCGACTAATGCCCCTTCGCCGCCCAGCTATCGGAGGGCCACAGGGAGGCTGATTTATATTTGGGCGGAACAGGGGAGTTGTTTTGCAACGAGATTAAGGATGATTAGGCTCTGCGGTCGTCACGGCTGATGCGAGCGGCTGGCGACTGCGACGACAGTGAGGTGTCCTGATAGTGATAGTGAGGTGTAGAGAAGTTTTTGTTAAATTGAGCAAGTAGATTTTGCTCAGACGGCGCTAACGATGTTACGCTGACGAAGGGGGAGAGGAAGAGGTCGAGGGGCCTCTGGCGTATGGTGTCGACTCAATTGGCAAGTCTGGACAAAGGGACCTGATGGCCAAATAAACCAACCCTCTTGCGGCAACAACTCCGGGCTTCACATAATATTAGACAAGAAATATATTCTGTTTAATAGCACTTTTTAGAGGCTCCGTGGTCATTCCACGCATGCCCCAGTGCAATAATAAAGTTCAATACAAGAACTAGAACCCCGAAACTAACACATAGTACAGCCGGCAGCTTTCTTCTTGATGTCCAGGGCAGACTCGAAGGCAACAACTTATAGTAACATCCAGCAGGGAAAATGAACGCCAGTGCGGTGGCAGCCACACCTCCGGCTATCTCTAACACCACTCCCAAGTCACATGTTAGAAGGGACACTACGCATACATTAGTAATCGGGAGTCTAAAGACGTTTGTACTCACACAACATGGCACCAAACAAGATAGTCGTAGTAAGAATGATATGGCGTTTCCTGTTCCATGGCTCCGCAGCATAGAAGTACTGTTCGATAACCTAAAACGCCACGGTTTGTGAACAAGAGTGCAGGAGAAAAGAGGCCCTCTTACCTCTCTACAGACAAATAATTCGAGCGGTAATGTTGTAAACATATTCATCCCAAAGCAGAATCGTGCAACATTGATCAACGTATCATCTTGAGGGAAATTGTTGAGTATGTTGCCTTGTGTCTTGTCGGTGAAAACCAGGTATGCCGAGATAGCTAATGTACAACACGCGATGAGTGAGAGAAAGGTTGATATGTGGGTTACGATGGAGAACCGATCCAAGGTGGGAGTGTTGAGAGAGCCGTAGATGAGCAATGAGTTATGGTGGCAGACAAATGCAAATGAAATGACACCGATAGCTTGAAAAATGCCAGAGTTGAGAATGGTGAATTTCTTTTCGGCTGAGCCACGGAGTTCCGGTGGCACCTGTGGACCTTCAATCATGACGGACAAAACGATTATTAACATCCCAACAAGAGCAAAACCTGATGCCCGTGCTAGTTTGGAGATGTCTCGATATAAGGATAGAGGGTATGATATGCAGGCAGTGCAAATAGTAATAATAAAGTTGCGAGACGCTAGGAATCCAAGGAAGGAACCTTGAAGACCAGGAAAGATGGATCGTATAACATGAGGTATGGTATCACCTGGCCACCAATTAGCATTGTTTTGATGAATCGAAATTATGCCTACCAATGATGACACAGAACGCAGCCATCCCTATCAACGCAATCAGGCCTAGATCTCGTGAAGATAATAATGAAATGGATTACCTCCGAATGCAAACGAAAATTGAAAGAGTGAAACGGCAGTTCGCCCTGCCCGCCCAAAACAGTGGCTCATAATATCCATATACGAGCTTCTCCCACTCATTTTTGCGTTGATGACAATCAATCGGATAGTCCAATCTGTTACACCACATAATACGACGAGGAGTATAACTCCTGTGAAAAATCCGGCTTGGCTCACGGCATAAGGTAGACCTTTTCATTCATAGGATGCATTAGTGACTATCTATTTACGGTCGTAGAAGAGTTATAGACACACCTATTATACCTGCAAAATCCATGAATAAGGAACGAATAGCATTCAGGGTAGAAGAGACATACCTGCTCCCAGTATGGAATTTGCCATATTAGCAATCGAATCTAGCATCCCA